CCACATACCGAACGCGCCGTCAGCACGCTTGACGTCACGCATTTGAGCTGACAGTCGTGCTGACGACAGATCGAGCGGAATCCAGGCAGAAGCTTTGTCGCCCGGGTCGCCACGAGTACACCCTTCATCTCTGTCGACATTCGATGTAAATCGTGCTGTTTTTCAATGCTTAACGTTTCATTTGTATTGATGAAATGTTGTTGCTGTTGCTTACAACTTGTCTTGCTGCTTTGCGTTTTTCCAGTTTCCGACATTTTTTGTCATCGGTGATTTCCGCCAGCTAGTTTTAATCGGTAAAGACCGGCTGGCAGAGATGGTTTCAGCCAGATGATACCATCCTTGACCATAGTAGAGTTAAAAATTATTCCACTATGGTTGGACTGTCAAGTGTCGGAAGTTTGTGCGCAGATATGGGATATTTTTTAGGTGCGTAAAATGAAGATCTTCATATCAAAATCTTGTAATGCAGCGCATCGACAGCATTTTTTTTTTGTGAGACCACCAGAACAGTTGGCTCGTGAACTGGTTTTGCCTTGTTTCGGGCTGGGCACATAGTCGGAGGTGTCGGCGGTGGTCAGGGAACATTGACGGGGGCGGCGCCCTTACTCAGTATGCACGCGACGCTACGCACGACCGGAATGTAGTGGGTGCGCGCTTCTGTAGCCGCTGATCAAGGCATACGCTCGTCTACCGATGCAGATCTGATTATGGCGGAGCATCAGCACGCTGCGTCTGACTAAGAGGGGGAATGCACAGAGGTCTGACAACAATTTATTCAGAGGAGATTCTGCTGGAACGAAAATCTAGTTGTGTCCGCCAAGTTTGTCAATATCGGAGGTATTCTCGCTAGCCGCTACGTAACTGCCAGTGATGTCACGCGCCCGGGTGGGCTGGGGTTGGGGGGCAATATCAAAACCCCTACGTTTTATTCAAAATCACCCTCGAACAGCGAGGCGCAGCTGCGCCAAACTTGTTTACCTGTAAAAACTGAATAGCAGATCTTTCTTATGATCTTGTGCAAAAAATGAGGCATATTTTTCTAGGTAACTGACCTGTGGTGGGTCAAAGCCAGACCATGGTTGTCAGCAAAGAAAATTATTTGGACAGCTTTCAAGTCGATGCAACAGAAGATTAAGTAACCATGCAATTTTGCGATAGGTTCTTAGACAATTTTACAATTTGATTATAACTTCACGAATTTACAACGCACTCAACTGATGTTACTAATTCCAGCGACGCCACCTTGAGTCAGACGGGAAGTTGAGATCTTGGTCAAAACCCGACAAATCTTGGACTGAAAAGCTCATTTGTAGGGTAGGTAGGGAAGAGCGGGGTGAGTTGCATAACACCCAAGTAGCGTCAGGGCGATTTGCTCCAAATATCTATGCCACGGACGGCAGTGTTGTGTCACTCAGCTGACGCACAGCAGCTTCCACTGTCTCTCAAATAATTCTGGGCGCACACGTGTACACGGCTTGGGATGAACGCGCTGTTGATGCGATGGGGCGAAGATGTTTTTGCATGTCGCTGAAAACCAGCAATCGGCTTAAATGTGTGAATGAGGGCTAATGGCATAACCAGCCCACTCTGACGTCTGTACTGGGTGGTGGGGAAGTTCATGTGTCGTGTATACTGCAAACCATCTGGCGTCTGTTTGACAGGAATTTCGGAGTGGCGCGAACTTTCTTGCAGGATGTCAGGTGGTACATGTTGCATCAGTTGTGCATGGGGCATGTTGCATGAGTAAGACAATGTACCGACAGTATATCATGAGCCGCTTTCCTGCCCATGATTGACTATCATTGCCATGACTTACTGTCATCCAGAAAACAAGCCGATATTTACATCTCCTATGTCGACCCATGATGTCTACCTGCGCAACCGAAACCGGGAACACAGTGTTCGTAGAAGGAAGATTGGTTGATAAAGGAGATAAATTTGTGATGTGACAACCACGACGAATCATAGAAATTAGCGCAGACGAGCGCATTTGGTATACATGTCGCACCGTGCGCAACATACTAGCGACGCAACTTATTCTATGACAAAAAAAAACATGAGCTCAGCCTCCCCCACCACATGCTTCAACTTACCTCAGGATGGGCAAGTTGTTCCATTTGAAACGAGGGCATTCAGGAGGTATTTACAACAAAAAAAATGATAAAAATGAGGCCGTGTTGTCCAAAACTTTACCGGTACATATGACGCTGACGTTTTTACTCGCCTGCGGATGCAAGGATATCCTCACTAATTACAGCAACAGGGAGCTAAGAGTAAGTGCTGTGCAACTCTTCCTTTTCTTCCCCGGTCTTGGAAGCTGATTTTCAGTTCCTTCATCTCGGAGACATGTTAAACGGAATGTTCCACATTTGAGAATATTAAAGGGAGCATCAGCTATAATGAAGTAAGCTCACTTAAGCCTAGGGTTATAGTTTTAAATGAAAGACTGCTCTAGATAACAAAATTTATCTTTTCAGTATATATGCTACTCAAGACGCCATTGTTTGACAGAGTCATGGAGTGACTGTGTGACAGCACTCACCTGTAGTTTCTCAATCTACCGAGAGGTGGCCCGCGGTGGTGCTGGATGTGTGCTCAACCAAATATCGCCTCGGGCCACCATTGGCAACCGAAAAAACACATATTTTTGTTTATCACAGCCGGACAATTTCCTAACAAATTGTCCTCAATTTCAAACTTCTAAGCTGTTAGAAAATGTGGCTTTACATTGGCTTCAAACAGCAAGTCAGCATAAGCCAATTTGGAATCGAACAAATCTTAAACGAAGTTTGTTTCTTGCTTTGGCTTCAGGGACCCAAATTAATTTACGTTCGGCCGGGGTTTGAAACAACCGCGCCCGGCCTGGGTTAGGTTGACTTTCCCCGAGATTTCCAACTTCCAGACGTCGTGCTAGAAAAAAGCGTACAGTTGTAAGGTTCTGGTGAAACCATGAAAAATGCACACCATCTTTTTTTACTTAAGGTGCAGTGTGAACTCACCGGAGGTCACGAAATGTCAAAAGCGGTCCCTCTGATGGATGCAGTTGAAACGTATGTTAATATAAAGCCGGATGTTGAAGGCATATGAGTAAATGTTATGGCTGTAGGGAGCCTATTCCGATCATTTTTGTTCCTCCCACAAGGGTCAGGTCAGGTCAGTTCACCGTTCAAAGTTTGTCTACCAGTAGCCTACAACCATCGATGCTTTTTTGTTTTCTTTCACCATGTGCTCCTTTCACAACTGCGTTTATTTGACTAGATGCAGCTATAGGACAAAAGTATCCTAGACACATCGTTCTATTCAAGGCTGACCTAGGGTTCAGCTAAGGTCTACCTTGGTCAAGTTTATAAACCAATGAAATGAAAAAAAATGGAAGAAAAAATTGAATGAAAGGAATCAAAAAATTGAATTGAAATTGAAAAATTGAAAAAATTTAACCGGGTCTAAGTACCCAGTACAACGTTTTTCCGTGGTGTGTGCTCTTTACTCTCACCCAACATCCCGCGTGGTCTCGCACTAGCCGTGAAGCACGGACAAGGGTTCGGTCGGCTTGTCGCCCAGCCCCCCTTGCCGGTACAATTCGCCCTCGAATATAATGTGCAGGGTACTGTGATAGATTATTTTGGCGCTATGCATTTTTCGCGATTTGCATTTCGAATCTCTACCACAAAGTGGTGGACAAATCAGCGTTTGCATGCGCGCCTACTGGCCGCCAAACTTATTGACCTTGGCTGACCTGATTTTACCTTGGATAACCTCATGTGGCCTGTTGTGACCTCATTATGCCCTAGATTGATTTCATGACATGCTTGCAGCAGAATATTCGAGTTCTGTGTCCAAAATTACCTAGTAAAGCTGCCTATCTTGATATTAGCATGTGTTTTGGAGGAGGCGCGCGTGGAGATAGGTCATGGCCAGGGCCAAGGCCATGTGTTCTGTGGCCAATGATCCTTTTGTCTGTGAGTTAGTAGCTTTTGCCCCATGTACAAACACTAAAACTACACAAAAATGCGTACAAATTTGCACTTTTTACAAAAAGCAGTCACAACTGACCTGCCTCAGGTCAGCACCCTCGCCTATTAAAAGATGGGAGTCTACAAACTAGTACTTTTATCGTTGTATTACTATAGAACATATGAATAATGGCTAATAGCCCATAAAAGGCTATTTATGGTTTAGTTGTTTTTAGAGGGTGACCTCCGTGACCTGACTGAGGTCGCTTACCTTGACAGATGAAACCTTCATATTTGCATAAATGACGCCAAATTTATGCATGAACAGGTAGCAAAAAGTTGGTGCTTCTGCAAGCTTTTTAGCTGTGCTCGAAAACCTAAGAAGGAAGTCAACTTACCTCCCCCACACCGCCGGACATTGGTCAAAGTGGGCAAAATCCGGTGAGAAGCCATGAAATAGAGGAGATTAGATCATTTTTATCGGCTCAGCCCCCCCCCCCCCGCCCTCCTCAAACAGATTTTAGAGAGTGACACCCCTGGCCCAGAGCGCAACAATGGCACAACAGCTCACCAAGTGACCGGATGTTGTCGCACTCGCCTGATGCTGTTACATGCACAGTCCTACCACAATATCGCGCGTTGGTGCCGCCATGTAGGTATAATGAGAGGCCGATGCGTTCGCTCATTGTCGCTTCAGTGTGTCTGTTTTCCATCTCTACACAGCGGACCCTTCAAGCAGCTAATGACAGCTGCGAGTGACGTCCTTTGACCCGAGCTGCCAATAGTGGTCAGCCTGTGTGCGGACACTGGGACCCACCTGGAGTCCCCTGAAGGGACGGCTGGTGACTCGCTGCAGTCGCCCTCAGTTCAGCCCAGAACGGAGCCGCGCCGGGAGCAGTTTTCGTCTCATCAGGCCGCGCCATACCTGGCCCGCGAGACCGCAACTCCTCACATCAGGCATCAGAGCTCAATCTGACGGTGCGAAGGGGCCGTTGGAGTTGGGGCCGCCGACGCTGGTGACTCAGCCGTGCGCCGTCTGGTCCACAGTTCCGCCGATGCTGGAGGTGTCCAGCGGGCTGGTCGGCGCGCCGGTCGGCAGCGAGGTCAGCATGGCCTGTCGTGTGGAGGCTTCGCCCAAGGCCATCTTCTACTGGTCACGAGAAAATGGTAACGCATCTAACTCGCAATCAAAAGCCTATTTGTATTCCCTCGACTATGAACCACCCCGAATGATGTTGTAAGGGGTGTTGCGAAAATGTATTTGTCTGCCATTAATGCGTTTATGCTGCCTTTTAACCTCTTTGAACACCAGTAATAGCAGCCGTGCGCCGTCTGCTGTTGGAACTCTAGGGGACGATGCTTCCACCCTTCCAGATGTCGTTGAATACGTATTTGTCCGTTATCCTTTCCCACTATTTCGAAGTGTTGGCCGACGCCCTTGGTTTTTCCCCCGAGGTCGGGCTCGCATCAGTAACCGGAGCCATCGAGCCCTCCGGGACCAACAGCCGTGCGATTTCCCCGCCGATCCCCGTGTTTCTCGCCCGCCCCCGTGCCCCGACCGACTGAATGTTTGTCGTGGAATCCTGCAGCGTCCGCGGCCCACTAATCTTATCGACAGGGAATAAATGAAGGGACGGCGGTGGCCGGAGCTCGACCGCTGCCACCCGCCGCCGGCAGCGGCCGCCGGTCAGCGCCGCCTGCCGCCGTGCGGCCGTCGATCAGCGCCGCGTCGCGCCGTGCCGCGCGCGCCTGTTGTTTGGCAAATCCGTCGGCTATTGGGCGGCCCTGCCGTCGCCGACCAGGCCGGCCTCACAGACGAATAAACCGGACCCGGCGCGACTTATTAAACTTCCGCTCGGCCGACCGCCTCATGCCCAGTCTCGCATAAAAAGGCGGCCACCCGGGCCCGCGGAGATAGAGAGCGAGCCGGGGAGGGGCGGCAGCGGATGGAGAGGGAGGGGGAGATGAGGCGGCGCGGCGGCCCGCTGGCGTGACAGGTAGGATGATGGGCGAAAAAACGCCGGGAAGCGGAGATCCACTGCGAGACGTTGTTGGGTAAGGTGGGATGTTCTGGCATCGAATAATCCACCATCCACGCCACAATACCAAATGTCACAGTAAATACAGAGGGCATGTCTGTGGAAAAGACTTCGAGAGTACCAAACGCCGATGAGAGGCATCGGAGCGATGGTGTGTCTTCTGTCATACATGTCCCATTTATGACAGCGACGCTGTCGTCTTGCCCACATGTATCATCTACTTGCGTTCTTTCGAATGAAAACAGCCATTGCTCGGTTGAAAGTGTCATCCGGCGATCTCCTGCGTGAGCTGGTTTTGAAACAAATTCTTCCCTTGATTCCACTTACAGGCTGTTCCTAGTCTGGCATCGTTTACATTCACTGGGCGTCTCCGCAAAAATGAGCTGGCTTTGGGCACGTCGGTGTCGATTTCCAATGACCGCGTGGCATGTCGGGCATGTCGGGGCACTATCGCGTATTGTGTCACGTGGCATGTCGGGGCACTCGTTTGTACTGTCGTTGGTTTGTGGGAGAAGAACACGAGCGAGGTCAGCAGCGCTACAGGAAAACAGTAATGTAAGCAAGCTCAATCATTCGGTCAATCAGTCCTACATTTCGAAGACATCCGAAGCATGGTTTTCAGTGCTACCTGTCAGTGGCATATACAAAATTATGGCTCATACGACCACACAACACCCTGAATTTTGTAGCACTGTTCCAGTTGTGAAGCCCGTGCCATTGTCAGGGAGGATTTGGGCTGCATTCAAGAGTATAGTTCTTTTTTGGGAGGAATCGGAAAAAAAGAAAGTTGAATTGACTGGGCGCGGCTAAACTGGGTCTTTCTCTCTGCGTTTCTTGAAAAGTGCTGGAGATTGCAGAATTTAGGCACGACAAGATTGCATATTATTACATGCGATATACGTGCCGTCGTTGACAGCGTAAAAAGAGGCTCTACATCTGCTCGCCAATTACATTCTGCGCTTGGAAAGTCGTGCTTAACGGCAGTGTCATTTAACGTAGCCTGTAGGCCTGTGGCCTGATAGTACAGAACCCCTTGTTCTTCATGTGCCGCGGTGTACAGCTTTGAGAGACGTTCCACCGCCCTATGTATCGTCACAGCAGGTGGTGTGCGTAAGAGGAACAGGAACCCAAAACGAAATAACAACAAAAATTTGACTTCAGTTCCTGTTTTGGTAAACGATGACAAGATCATTGTGTAAATCGGATGTGGCCGATCATTTGCTTCCTTTCGTAGCCTCATCATGAAGATGTAACGTTCCATTTAATTTGCTGTTTGATTACTAAGCCTGCGCGAATTCATCATTACAGAACCTTTCCCCCCTCTCCCTCAAAACGGATTCAGCTTGAGACAAGGTAAAGAACATAAATTAAAGGATTCATCATACAAGATTAAAGGAGTCAGTTTGCTCCTTCGGAAGGCAACATCTTGACTAAAATTTCCATTCAAGTCGTGGGTGTCTATAAACCGCACAACACCCATCAGAGGGATATTTCTACTGCCCGCGGCACGACACAAGCACAACCGAGGCTTTAAAATTTATACGCTTGTTGAGTGTTTAACCGAGAGTTAGTGTTGCGTTCATACACTCACGGCCATTACCCCCGTCACTCGCCGCGCTCTCGCATCTGGTTCTGACTTGCCCAGCACACCTACATCGGAGTTCGTTTAGCCAGACAATGCGAGCCGACGTTCAACAATCTTGCGACATCAGTGGGCTCCCTGACATATTCCAGAGAGAGACTGGAGTTGAAAAGCGGCTTCCCTGCAAATGAAAAGGCAGCTTACCGCGGCGACTGAAGCGGTCTGATTCACGTCAACGAGCAGAAACCAAAGGCGGCGAACGTGCTTCAATCATAGACGTGACAGGGGCGGGCTTCCTTTTTTGCAAAGCGGTAAAATAAGAAGAAAAGACAATGAGGAAGACAGAATCATCCTGGGATGGACCTTACGAGCTTGTTTCATCCCTGCCTCCCCCCTCCCCCTTACCTACCCCTGCCTAAAGTTAAGCATTTTCCGGCACATATGCTGGTTCAGTTTGTGAGGAGTGGTTGTCTACGTGACCCGTCCAGTGTGATTAATGGCATCCGTGTACTGTGACCGGCCCCGCTAGGCGGCTGTGGTCGCCTGTGACCGGGTCAGCGTGCGCCGCCGACTGCCAGAGTGACGAGCCGACGCTGTGACCCGCCAGGCGAGATGATCCTGACGGGCGCGCGGCACCAGGTGTCGCGCAGCCAGAGCTCACCCTACCGCTACAACATGAGTCTCGCCATCCGTCGGCTGGCAGAGCGAGACTTCGGCACCTACCACTGCATCGCCAAGAACTCGATGGGCGAGGCCGAGGGCGCCATCACGCTGCACAGTAAGCGCCGGGACACCCCGACAGGGGGCGCAGAGTCGGGTCGTGTCGGGACACGGGCGACAGAGGGCGCAAAGTCGGGCCGTGTCGGAACACGGGTGACAGGGGGCGCAGTCGGGCCGTGTCGGGACACGGGTGACGGAGGGCACAGAGCTGGGCCGTGTCGGGACACGGGCGACCGGGGGCGCAGAGTCGGGCCGTGCCGGGACACGGGCGACGGAGGGCACAGAGCTGGGCCGTGTCGGGACAAGGGCGACCGGGGGCGCAGAGTCGGGCCGTGCCGGGACACGGGCGACAGAGGGCACGGAGCTGGGCCGCGCCGGGACACGGGCGACAGGGGGCGCAGAATCAGGCCGTGTCAGGACACGGGCGGCAGGGGACGCAGAGTCAGGCCGTGTCAGGACACGGGCGGCTGGGGGCACAGAGCCGGACCACGCCGTGCGCTGAGAGAGGCTGTCTGGCCACGACTCATTGTGTGAACAGCTGGCAGCCAGAGCTGCTTTCAGTAAAGTTTGCAGGTGATAATCAGTCTGTGAGCTCTAACACAGATGCAGTGGATGGTGTCTCACCAACACTGAGATCAGGTGTCTCACCAACACTGAGATCACCAACGCTGAGGTCCATTGATTATCGGGTGAAACAAATCTTTGGTACCACGTAAAGTTCTCACGAATTTCGAGCTCGAAAACATTTCGTTTTACAGAACTCAAGGTCATTAAGTTAGGGTAACTGTGGGTCGCATGCTATGGTATATAGTCAAGCACCAGGGCACACCGGGATTGAAAAAACAGCTCCTTCAGGTCTTTCGGTGTTTTTCTTAGTCTTTCACGCCTCCCACATAGCTGCCATAAATAAAAGCTGTCCCCAAGATATGCCCCACTTGCACCGCCAATGGACGATTCCTCCCTAGCGCCAGGGTGACCAGACATTACAAAAACCTTACCTAGCCGTCTTGTGCGTTATTGTGCTCGGCTACTGTTCGTGGCGTTGCAGCCGTTTCTTGACAACAGCTACGTTGCTGGGGCGCTGCCGCGGATGCTGGTCGACCTTCCCGCGCCTTAGCGGTTGGTGCGACCGACCGCAGCGGTCGGCGACTGATTGCGTCACAGGCCAGGAAAAAGTGGCCCCCGACCGAGTGCTGCGTCGCTTCCGGCCCCGAAGTGCCGTGTTTGTTCACAACAGCGCTGTGCTTTGCGGGCCACACCAGACCTGGGCGCCTGAGGCAAACTGAAATTCGACCGGCCCGTGTCTTTGTGCCTAGAGCTTGAATGCGCAATGCAGGATTTCCGCCTTCCACGGATGGGTTGTGCATTATCCAGCGGTCAGGCTCACCAAATTGCATTTTCTGCACATTAGGTCTATCGGAGCTAAATGTCGCTCCTTGTATCTTTGCATATATGGCGCTTCCCATGCAGGTTTACGGATCAAAAGGGTTGCGTTAGCAAGCCAACTGTCCTTGATAGTTATCCCAACATGAAAAAAACCAAATTTCGTCTTTACGTCGGCTTGGAATTAACGTCGTTACAAAAGCATCAGATTGCCGTACCTTAGCCATGAGAATTATTACACCGTCATTAAAAATGTCGCCACGGCCCGGGTAATGCGGAGACGAAGGCCATGTTGGTGGGGACCGATCCACTGGAGGTTCTGAAGTCCGGGCCTTTCACGCGTGATCCACCTGTTCCAGAGATCCACCTGCCGTCGTCGGCACGACCCATGGAGGTGTTCACCGAGCCCAGCGACCTGCTGAATGAGCTGGCCGAGTTCGAACAGAGCGGCGACTTGCCGCCATTTGGAGACGACGAGGACTTCTTGTACGGCCGCACGGACGAGCCAGCCCGGCCCGAGGAGCGCGCCCCAGAGCGAACGGGCGTCGTGCTCACCGAACTGTCCAAGAGCGTGGCGCCACAGCGGGCCGCCACCGCCGCCGCTGCTGTCCATCCGCTGTTGCTGGCAGTGCTGGGACGCGCGATGCACTCGGCGCTGGCACGTACCTCTTAAACGCGAACCGGCGCGCCAGTCGTGATGCGCTGATTCAAATCAGACGACATATCTAGCCGGCTGGTTACCCACGCAGTCTGTAGTTGATGTTTCCAAATGAATGCGGTGGGTCGCTACGCTACTCAAACGAACATTAAGCGCCGGTTGGCGCGCGCACGGGGGTTGAATACCTTTTATCGAAAGTCGCGGTGCGGAGCTATTGCGGTGAGAACCTGACTACCACGTGATCTACCTTGAATCTAGTGTCCGTTAGATATAAGTAACTGCTTGCATGAAGCCGTTATGTTTCAATGCGTCTTCAGAAGCGCTGGGCTCGCCCAAAAGTCAATGCTAACTACCGACCTGCACAGCTGGTAGGAGCGCCGATTGCTGTCCGATGTGGTTCAGTTTGGGATGCTGCGTGACTTCTGTTGGTGCAAATATCCTCGCCTCACCCATAGCTCACGCCTGTATCGGGCTTCCCCATTACATACATATACATACATATATCGATGTACTTGCGTCGGGCAATGGTTGGTTACGTTTTTCTGTAGCATTTGTGACATATGGTAAGCGGCTGTGTTGGAATATGGATGGCACGTGGTGTGTGAGACGCTGGCGAGCGGCAGGTTTCCTCTGCTTGTGAAGCTCGCTGCTGCAGGTTTGGTTCATGGACATGACAGACCCAACCAGAGCCCAGATGGCGTCGCAGGCCTAACTGATTGCCTTTTTCTCTGGCAGCTATGCCTGCACTGTAGACACATTCTGACACATTCGTTAGGCACCCATGGTTTATCGCTTCATTTTACTTCCCACGCTACCAGACCCTGCGACCCCGCCTAAACCCTGCTCTGTTATGGCTGTCCTGCACGCCGGAAATCGAAGTGGCGTGGTGAGCGTATTCCTCCTGCCCGTGTGACGGGTATGATAGGTTAGAAGATGACCATGCAGCTAGGTGAATGCATGGCTAACAGCAACACGTATGCCATCAGAGGCTTCTCAATAAGATACGTCTGTGTCACCTGTGCTCAGTACCGGACTACAGGGACGCCTCATTTCGGCTCCCGCAAATCACTATAACACACTGTCGATCGGGCTGCGCAAGCGCTGGGAACATTCCTTCAAACCCTGCTTTTAGTAGCCGTTAGAGGAAGCGATAAAAGTGACCATATCGGTTGAACGGCGCGTGTTAGTCTACACATGGGCACCAGTGGCGTGTCGTCAGCGCGCGGCTCGATGGAGCAGTGATGACGCACCGGAGTCGGGTGGCGGACTTCTGATGACGGGTGACAGACGCCTGATGACGGCGTCGCGGCGCCGGCTGACGACCAGGCCTACCTCCCACCTAGTGTGAGGGTGTTGCGCTCGGTGTCACTCGACAGTCGATGGCCGGCCGCCCGACCACAATAATGGGTACGGTTTTGAGTGTTACGCCGCAAGGTCCGATACATGGTTCGGCGTTATTGACCTGTAGTGAACAGCCAAACGGCGGACATAGTTGGCTGTTACGTGCATTTATTGGTAAGGTGCTGTGGAGTGCGTGAGCGAACGTGCGCGTTTGAGATTTTTTGTCGCGGTGCGATAATGGTCGGAATAAACGGCACCCACGTCGAACTCTGCACGTACCTGGTACGCAAGTTTATCTATCCCGAGCGCTACAAATGCCTACACTTCATGACATTGGAGTGCCCACTGGCACCAAGATATTCCAAATGGCGCCGGTCGTCTACCTGGCAAACATGCGCATATACATATAAATATAAATATATATATATATATATATATATATATATATATGTGTGTGTGTGTGTGTGTGTGTGTGTGTGTGTTGTGTGTGTGTGTTGTGTGTTGTGTGTGTGTGTGTGTGTGTGTGTGTGTGTGTGTGTGTGTGTGTGTGTGTGTGTGTGTGTGTGTGTGTGTGTGTGTGTGTGTGTGTGTGTGTGTGTGTGTGTGTGTGTGTGTGTGTGTGTGTGTGTGTGTGTGTGTGTGTGTGTGTGTGTGTGTGTGTGTGTGTGTGTGTGTGTGTGTGTGTGTGGGTGTGTGTGTGTGTGTGTGTGTGTGTGTGTGTGTGTGTGTGTGTGTGTGGTGTGTGTGTGTGTGTGGTGTGTGTGTGCATTTACAAGAGAAAATTGATAAAAACCTCTATGAAGGCTTACTGTCATGAAAATATCGAAAACTGGGCACACTGACCTGTTGCTTACCATTATCAAAGCTGAAGCGGTCTGGCAACGTAAATCGCTCGGTGCGCGAGCAAGTTTTTCAAAACAGGAAGCGTTTAAAGAAATATTTCTTCCATACCGGGAGCCTGAAGCCTGAGCCAAAAGCTAGAAGAACCTTCACACGCCCAGATGTACATTTAGAGGACAGGTTGAAGATCACATTATCGGGATCAAGAGGTCAAAATTCATTGCGTATGCCGAGATTTCGTAGTTTTTTTCTATGGACATCTTCTGTTTTCTTGACGAATGCATTAACTGTCTTCAGTGGATGCTTTTAGAGAAAGTGAAATTTAAAGCAATGACAAAGTTTGGTGCAGCTGAACGAACGAGATATTAATGCGTCGATTAAGTGAGAAATGCCCATTACAATTCTCTCTAAGCTCTAGGTTCAGAAGCTGATCTTGTCATGACCAGTGGAACTCATAGGCGGATCCTGGGGGGGAGGGGGCACAGGGCCATTCCCCCCCAAACCTCTGAGAGTATATTTTGCTCCCCCAAAACATTTCCAGAACTTCATAAAAGTTTCGTCTACTTACCGTCTGTTCTAACTTTAACCGTTTGAACTGTTTTGTTTTAACTTCTGTTTCAGATTCAAAGGCATTTCGGTGTTTTTTCGGTTTTGAATGGTGTCCCTACTAGGTACTTGCGAGAGGCACCATGCACTGGACCTCGAATCCCACACCAGCCAGCTGGCGACGAACGGTTGTCCCCTCCCCCCCCAAAAAAACTCCAGGCTAGATCCGCCCCTGGTGGAGTTTCGGGTTTTTGAGAGCCCTATTATGAAGCTTAAATCTCAAGAATTGGGAAAAATGTTGAACGTTTCGCAACTTTTGAGAAACGTAACGTCAAAGGCGGTTTTCTTCTTTTGCTTTAGAAGGGTGGAGTATTTCCCCGCTCGACGCACAGAATCCTCGCTATGGTACCGTCTGATAATCTCACATATGGAACATCCCCAGATAGTAAGAAGTAGTAAAACATTATGGCAAGGATAGCAGTCAACAATGTCATTTATGTACTTTCCAACGTTTTTACACAATGCATATCATCATCAGGACGAGTACAACTATACCACTTCAATCAAGTTACAATGAAATATTAGAACATTTAGCCGACATCGCTCGGCCTGACAACAGTCACGGTCACACAAATGAACACGACCTCTTTGTGCATGAACAGGACCAAATACGACAGATTGAAAAATACACAAAAACACGTAACGAAATATCCTTTTGACTCCGAATGAAAAAGACTACCTTATAATTTGCAAAGGATATGCAGACCTCACCATATTTAATGCCAGCTTTTCAGATGAATATTAAATGATTCTAAAATCCTAAGATTGAGATAATTGATCAACGTCCTGATACAGAAAACGTTTCAGTGCTAAAGTGAGTGCCACACGCAAATGAAGAGTCTTGGATGGGCGAAGGATCTGGGTCAGGCAAAAGGCCGCCTGTGCGGTTAGACTTTCCCATATGTTGCTGCACTCTGCCAGGGACGGATCTAGAGGGGGCTATGGGTCCACGCCCCCCATTGGGCCCCCCCCCCATTGGGCCCCGATGAGACCCATTGGCTCCGAGGGGGCCCGTAGCCAGCCGAACATGTGTAGTTTTTTAATACAGAACACAACAAAATTGGACACCCCTGAATTTCCAGGCGCCCAATAACAGTTGCAAGCAGAAGTGAAGGGCCCACGAAAGGTCAAAACAATTTCAGTGATTGAAAAGTTGTGAATTTGGAATTGCAGCTGTCATTACACCGTCTAGGGGCCCTAAGCTGTTTCCGGGGGCCTATATGCCCATTTGCAAGGTCATTCCGATCGTTACGGAGCCTTCCACGTCGTCCTTGATTTTTTTTTTGCATTTGTTCGGAGGGCTCTGTGGTTTCACTGGGCCGTTCCCTGCTATCGTGCCGGGGCACTCCTGTCAACCACGGATTCTTTCCATTCGCCAGAAAGGCTCTGTGGGCTAAAGCCGGCCCCCCATATGCTAACCCGCTGGGGTATTCTCGGCTGCTCAGGGGCCCTTTACGTGGGTCTCGGTCAATCTACCGACACACTCGCGGCATGCTTATGGGCCCTCCACATTGGTCTAGAGCGCTTCCAATTCTCTGCCACTTGCTTATGGCCCTATGCTCCTGTCGGGCCGGCTCGATCACTGCGACGATTGTGACACGGACACCAAGTACACGATCACGCGCGTGGGTGATAGGCGCGCCGTGAGGTTCCAGCACGTGGCCGGTGACACGTGCCTGGTCTGTGAGAACGTGCTGCGTTGCTGGCGCGGTGGGCACTCTTCCCGCCGGCGAACAAGCCGCGACGACGCTCTCGCTGAGGCTGCCCGACGTGTACAAGCGACCGCTTGGCCTGCTGCCGGAGCACGGACACTGCGCCGGCGACGACGTGGACGCGTTGCTGCTGATCTGCCTGCCACACGGCGAGCGCTCTTTGCCGGTGCGGACGACATCTGCCAGCCGCTGGCCGGTGTGGAGGAGATGTGGCGGCGCTGGCGGCAGGACACCCAGCGCACAGCCTGAGAGCGCCAGCCGGCCTCCGTGACTGGTGGACAGAGGGTGGGGCGGCTCGCTGTCGCCACCAGAGAACGCCGCCCGGCCTCCGTGACTGGTATATTTATTTATTTACGTATTTATTAAACGTCATAAGCTCACTCCACTCAGAATGTGGCTATAACAGAGCCCGTGTCATGGAAATAAAACACTGTAGGTCAGGGAGGCTCGCGTAAACACGTACACACGCAGGCACACATAGGCAGAACGCACTCTCACATTCGCTAAAGTCATTTGAAGTAGGTGTCGCTACACGTTATTGATCTGCCGCTGCAGGATATAACGACGCAACTCGCGTTTGAATTGTGGAAGGCTCAGCTCGCGAATATTCAGCGGTAGTGCGTTGTAGGCGGTCACGGTAGGGCAAACAAAACGCCGCCTTCTCGATTCAGATCTGATCACCGGCACATGCAACATATCATCCTGCCTCGTTGTGCGATGGTGAGCAGTGGCGTCTATGGATAAGGTGATCAGATAGCGACTCCGGCTGTGATCTTTCCAGGATACGTTCCAGAAGTGTCCATGTATCATATCAGAACATGTCAGCAGACATCCACTCGAGATCTCGTAAAACATCGCTCACATGATCATATTTCCGACGCCCAGAGATGACTCGTGCTGCGAAGCTCAGCAGCTTCTGAAGTCGTGATGTTTGAGTAGCATTGCATGTTCCGTACACACAGATGCAGTAACGGATGAGTGAGATGACTAAACCCTGGACTAGAGTAATGAATGTGGCTTGAGGCAGACTGTGCCGGCTGTGGCTGTGGCCGATAAGAACGCCAGTGCATCGCCGCACGACGTCATTGGTGTGCGCAGTGAACGTCATGCGCTGGTCAAATGCAACACCCAGGCTTCGATCGGAATGAGAGCTGGCTACAGTGGCGCCCATAAATTTGATGCTATTCGGTGGCAGGTTTCGAAGATTTTGACGCGTGCCGAGGACTATGAGCTGTGTTTTTGTGCGTTAATTTTCATTCCGTTTTTGTCAAACCATTTGGACAGGTGTGAAAGATGTTGCTCCATAGGATGTGATCAGCGTACTGAATGTCACCGGGCCTCCCACTCACTAAAACCCTGCGTGTCGTCCGCGTACTGCACAATACATGCGTCATGCTCATACAGCGGCATATCATTAGCGTAAATGCTGTATAGCAGCGGGCCGAGCGCTGAGCCCTGGTAGGTTCCTGATCGGGTTGTGCAATGCCGTGGACAGAAAGGGAACGCCACCTGGGTTTCGGACGAGAACCTGCTGAACGTGGTTTTGGAGGTGGCTCGCAAACCAACGTACATCAACATTGTACAGCTGGAGCTTTCTAAGGAGTCCATCATGTGGGATGACATCAAAGCACTTGGATAGATCCGTAGGCATAACAAGGCTGATTTCCCTTTGATCCATAGCCTCAAAAACTTTGTCGGTTACCGTGAGAAGCGCCGTGTCAGTAGGAGTGATATGATCTAAAATCATGTTGACTAGACGAGAACAGGTGATGAGAGGTAACATATACAAACAGGCTGCTCACAAACTACACGTTTGGTAACCTTAGCGATAGTCGGTAAAATTAAGATAGGCCTGCAATTAGAAAGATCAGTGGATTTTGGCGTCTTTTGGATAGGGTGTACTATTGTCAGGTTCCAGGAGTCGGGAACTACATGGGCTGTCAGGCTGGAATTAACAATATGGGCGATCACGGGACAAAAAGCGTCTATGCACAGCTTGAAAAACCGGATACACAATCCGTCTACGCCGCACGACGTACTGTTACGCATGCGGGCTATGACGCGTCGCAGTTGCTCCGGTGCAACGGGCGGTACCTGGAACCGGCCGGT